GGAGTATCCGGTTTGTTCACTTGCTTTTTATAACATGGTTCACAAGTTAAAAAATTTATCCTTTGTGATCTGCTATTATGCATTTAACTGAGTCCTTACTTTCGCATTTTATATCACACCCAATGTTAATGCATAGTGCCCTGGTGGGGCATAACATGGCTGTTTGGGATGGAAGCATACTCCGATCACAACATGGTCATGACAATTGACAAAATGTGGACGGGGAGAATGTCATGCCTAGCACTTGAAAGATAGTAGGTAGGGTGTGCAATGCATTAGCTAGGAATTAGTGTCATCTCGGGGCTAATGTATATCCTCAAACATGTAAGTCTTTCGGGTTGAAGACTAGTCCTTCATATTTTCTTGTTGTCATGAAGTGCCACCATACAGTCTATACTATCTTTTCCATTGGAATCACTTCTTAATGTTAACAGTCAACCTAGAAGTATTAGGCTGAAGGCCAAAAAAGAAAACCTAGTAGCATTAGGACCATGCCAAAAAAAAAAAGTTCTCCAATATGGTTGAATGGTCTTCCATTGAGTTAATCATGGCTGCAATCATATTTTTCTTCTTTTTGCATGGTTTCGTCCCTCTTTGGAACCTTATTCATCCTCTTTTCTCAATTCGTCTTGAAATCCTAATACCTTGTGAAGTTCAAAAATAGGAAACCAAGCGTTAGTGTAAAGTTGCTAGCTAGATCTGACATTATTTTTTCTTACTCAACTGGTTGAGTTGGTCCAAGCTTCATGTCATTTGCAGAAGATTTCTTTTTAGCTACATTTTTTTTCTTTGGGGAAAGGGAAATAATAAAATCCACATTAGGTAGCAGTTGAAAGAGTTAATTGTAGACTGTTACTCATTGGACTCTAATGTTTTAATTTTGTTTCTTTGAAGATCACATTACAGAGAATATATGCCAAAGACTAATTGCAAAATGAAAAAAGTTAATAGGGTCATCTGAACACTTACTGTTTCTCTTAGTACTTGTTGAAAGCTGTCCAAATTTAAGAAAAGCATATGCTTCAAATGAGTTTGGTGGACAGTATTTTGCTAATTTCCTTATTGTATGGTTCTTATTTTTTCTTGGTTTGCTATTCTGAAAGCATGCCGTGGGCCTAGCAGTTAGTTTTGGTTTTTGTTCCATTGGATATGGTGGTAAATTTGATAGCAGTTTGGTTAACTGACAGTTTTTTTGGTTTTTTTTTCCATTGCCTATTGTGGTAAATTTGATAGCAATCTGGTTAACTGACAGTTTTTTTTGTAGGAAACGTTGTTGTTGGATCTGGATCACTTCTTGGGCAACTATTAGCTCGACCTCAAAATGAACCAATCAACAAGCTCCTTTTGCCTACACTTAGCCCTCTACATGTATAATACATGAGGAAACTTTTTTACCCTTTTTTTTATTATTTTTAGCTCCAGAAATCTACTATATTTTCTTGTTTTCTAGCAAAGGAAAACTCTCCCTTTCTTTCTCTCTTTGATTAATAGGAGCACCCATCATATTAAAATATTTGGTTTTATTTTTCTTTTCTTTCTCTCCCCAAGGAAGGGTTGTTATGTGGTTGTGG